GTCGCCAGGGATGGGCATAGGTGACGCATGTTGCGCAGGCATGCTTCCCTGTTCAGCGTGTTAAACGCATTCGTGGCATCTGCCATTAAGACCGTATCCTCCTGGTCGAACGCCTGCTGCATGGCATGTATCGCCGCCTCGATCCCGCAGTCCTGGCCTGCACAGAGTTGAAGGGTGCCAGCTGCCTCTTTAATATCCTGACCAATTACGTACAGGATGGCCTTGCCCACCACTCTCCGCATCACCTCGCCAATCCCAATGGGTCTAACCCCCGGGTTCTTGTTGAGGGGGATGAGTCGGGATGCCAGGTACGCTTCCAGCGATCGGGGGTCGACAAATTCGGTCGCTTCACGTCGAGCAGAGCTTGCCAGCGCATCGCATAGCGAGTCAGACGCATCGGAGAACATTGTGCACATCCACCTCCATGCCTCAGCGTCTACACCTGACGGGCCGGCTGCGCCATGAGTGTTGAGTACCGCAGTGTTACCAACCGCCCGTATTTGTCCGTATTTTTACGGAAATACAGCCATTTGTCCGCAGCACGGAAATAATCCAGATTCTCCCAGAAAATCCAAAAAAATCGGTAGCACCAAGCAAGAACGGCAGATTCGGTAGTATACAGAGTAGAATCTGGTCCCTGGATCTACGTAACTCTCCAGAGTGCGCCGCGACTTTATCAGATCTGGGACGCGTCGATCGACGGCGCAATCCGTGATACACGTTTGACATTTTCATGATTATTTTTTGTTTTGTTTCCTCGTGGTGCGCAGGTCGATTTTCACAACACAGCAAGAGTCCATAACCCCGGACTCTTGATTTTAGTTGACTCCCTGCATAGCACCACAACAGCACCACATCTGCACATCCCTGTAGGCATACCCATTCATGCACTCCCGGCTGACCTTTGCCCTGCTGACCCTTTGACTCCCTTGCATCAAGAGTACATCTGGTTTTCATGTATAGTACTCTTGCTTGCATGCACTGCACTGCATGCACCCCTTTTCCCGCTCACCCTGTCTCACTAACTGCGTGCACCCCTTTTCCCGCTCACCTTATTTCCCACTGCATGCACCTCTCTTTCCCTCTTTTAATAGCAGGGAGTCGTTTTTTACTTTTTTTTTTACGACTCCCTGCTCTTTAGTTATACCCGGAAGGCTGCGCTTGCGCAGTGTAGTTCTCCCAGTGCTTCTCCTTGTGCCTTTATTGTGGTTCTCCTTGTTGTTCTCCGAGTCTTCTCCTTGTAATTATCCCAGTCCTCTTTGTGCTTCTCTGAGTCCGACAATATAACTATCATAACAACCCATAATTGCGTGCAGTCTGAGATAGAGTGTTATAAAGTACAGTAGTATAGTATAGTATTATAGTAGAGTAGTCTCCAGTCCAGCCAGATCCCATATGACTCCACTTTGTGGTTTGATGCAAAATTTCAAACTCATCGGAGCAATTGGTGTGCACGTGTATTGAAGCGATCTTCAATTCCTCAAATCATTTCGTAGTGACAGTGTTCCTTTCTTTCATGTAGTCCTGGAATTATTTTAGCCTAGTCGTTTAGTCGGACAAGAGATGGACATCCCTCTTCATCTCCTTGCGCCATTGCTTCGTACGAGGTATGTGATCGTCGGCCATTGCATGTCTACCCGATTACGATCGTACACAATTCTTGCTCGTAGTCTGAGTCCATCTAATAGATTATATTTATTTGTTTGGTAATTTTTCATCGTTTGCAGCTGCAACACTATCGTCATACATCTGCGCGTGAATGCACATGTGCATCTTACCTGGCGATGAGCATGACCCTCCCCCCGATTGAATTGTTGTATAAATTCGTGCAAGGTAAGTAAAATAGTTTACTAAGGCTATGATCGTTTGGTCGGATCCAGATCCAGATCCAAATCTCAGATCCGTCGGATCCTTCAGAATCAACCGAACACTTTTTTGCGGACCTTGGCTGTTGCCATGTTGACGAAGTAAAAAATGGCGCTGACAGGTCACCCAAAAAAGGCACAAGTCGTACTGATCGCCCGCGTCGTACGAAAAGTCAACAAAAGTCCACTAGACGTACGACAATGAGTATAAAAATGATTTTTACCCACCATATACGCACAAAGGTCACATTTGGATCCGATGGATCCAGTCAACCCTGCTCCCGGGGCAGGGTTGCTCGGATCCAAATCCGAAGGATCTGGATCCGGATTCGACCAATCGATCATTGCAGATCCAGTGGATCCGATGGATCTGGATCTGGATCCGACCAAACGATCACGGCCTAAGTCTTGCTGTTAGGTAAATCGGGGGGAGGATTTTTTTCAACAACTCTACAGTACCTGTAGACACGTATGGGTTGTGATGGTGATTGAGTTATTACGGGTGTCATCAAAGAGTTGATATGATGGGGGTTGCGATGGTGATTGGGTTAGCATAACGATAGGATCTGTGCACATAACAACACGATTTGCTAATAGGGTATATACATGTAGGACCTGTACACACATGCATGTAAGATGCTTATTAACGTCCATTTCAAAACTATAGACGCGTACCTAGGCAAAAACCGTTATGCCAGCATCTATACCACATAAAATCTGTGATCACTTTGTGCATAATTTTTTCCAAATAGGGCATCTGTTATCCAATCGTTTGGAAACTATATGAGAGTAATTGTGGAGCGGACCTGAGCAATATTCCGAAAACTAATCTCAAAACGTTCCAGCCAAATTTGAAATATTTCAAAAACCCTACGCGTCTATAGTTTTGAAATAGACTGTAGGGTTTGCTGAGTGTTGTGGTGATCTGTACACAAAAAGCAATGGTACGAGGACTTCTTCAACTGTAGCACCTGCACACATAAAAGAGTAGAGTTGACATGGTAATAGGATTGTCATGGTGATAGGGTTACGAGGGCTACTAGGGTTATTGTCTCCAGAAAAATTAAAATTAGGGGTTATCGTCATGGTGTTATGTTTATCCTCACCAGAAATATTAGGGTTATCGTCATGGTGATAAGGTTATCACCACCAGTAAAATTTAGGGCTATCGTCATGGTGATAGGGTTATCAGGAATATTAGGGTTATGGTCATGGTGTTAGGGTCAGGGTTATCAGAAATATTCAGGTTATCGCCATTGTGATAGCCCTAGAGTTAGGGTTATCGTCATGGTTTTAGGGTTAACTTGGGGTTATCGTCAGCAGAAATACTGTAGAACGTGTCATAATAGACACCCTTAGCAAACAACGGTAACGCTATTTTTACGGTACTCGTACCTTGATCACCCAAATAGCGTTGAAACTGCAGCGTATAAACGTTATGGGGGCTGATTTATCGTTGTGACCAACGGTACGTGTTTTAGCCAAATATTGCATAGTCCGTACGCATTTAACCTTGTATCGCGTATATGGTGACAAAAATGGTTGTACAGCGCGAAATCAAAGCTATTCTCGTGGCAATACGTACTAAAAATAGCGTGCATCTTGCTAAAGGTCGAACCCAAATCACGGTATTTTCCCCCTTACGATAATACCGTTACAACATAACGTTGTTTGCTAAGGGTGTCTATTAGCGACGTAAAAACCCTAGCGAATTTAGCGATCGACTCATTTTCGCTAAAGTTTCAAGTCGCCGTTGAGACATTAGTAATGCACTGGTGATCCGTGAGTAAAATCGCTAAACCAGCTGACAATGGGAAAACGCTAATAGTCGCTAAAATTACCCGTTCTACAGTATTAGGGTTATTGCCATGGTGACAGCCCTGGGGTTAGGGTTATCGTGTTGATAGGGTTAGGGTTATCGTCACCAGGAATATTAGGGTTATCGCCATGGTGATTGCACTAGGGTTAGGGTTATCATCATAGTGATAGGGTTAGGGCTATCGCCATGGTGATAGGGTTAGGGTTACCGGGATTATTAGGGTTAATATGGCCCGACTTTTAGGGTTAAAACGCATTACGTCATCGATGGCGTCATATGTAAAACGCTCCGGTTTTAGGTTAAATCGCACAAATTTACCGTAAATCGGAAAAAATAGGGTTAAACGCCCTGGTTTTAGGGTTAACTCGCTATGACGTCATTGCTGACATCAGTGAGTTGGTACGCTTCAAAATCCTAGTCGACTCGCGCATTTCGCGTCCAAAGTTTGTCGTCAGAGAACTCCTGTTGCTTCTTGCGCAACACAGAGAAGGCCTGGTGCTGCAATCAACACCAAAATGCGATGGAGAATTGTCACGGAGTACCAGCAACTCCTGGGCAATCGTTCTCGAGTGCCTCCTGGCGGATTGAAATCGCCGTAGTCGCTGTTTCCTTCGCAGAATGTCAGTGAACTCATCCAGAGACTGGTGCAGAAAGCACCAGCATCGCGCCGTCCAGTTTGCTGATCTCTCTCGCAATCGTTCACGATTATAGCGGTTCACGAAACAATATTACAGAATAATCACCATGCTGCGTGGAAGGAAGGTGCGTAAACGCTTCTGAACGATATAATTGCAATCGAATAGGAGGCATGATAGTGCAATAGCATGGTTGAGACTTTTGTACAAACAGGATTTCTTCAGGGAATGCAACGTTTCTTGCAGGGGATGAAGGTTGAAGTGAGCTGAGAGAAAGTCACCAATGTTTGTTTTCTTCAGAAAACTAATCAGATGTCTGTCGACGCCTAGGAGGCGCTGTCGAGATTGATAGCATCTTTTTTCTGGCATGCATCAGGTCCATGATGTTCTAGAAAGGGCGTCGGTGCACCGTCTGCATCCGTCTATAATACAGAGCCGACGAGTGTTCATTGGTCGTAGGAGCCGGTATAAAAAGACTCTACTTGCTTTCGTCATGCATCATTATGCTCAATTTGTCAACAGGGTTGCGTCATCCTGTCTGCCTCGTGCACGAACATCTCGTCCGGACTTTCGGAGCTCGTGCACAAATTTGGAGGTGCTAACTACGATAAAGCCGTGTACTTCCACCCGAACGTGAATAAAATCGGACAAGATGCGTGGAGAATCGACAGCGCCGATATCAAAACCTTATCTCAAGCCCCTGGTAGGTGAAGAGACCATCATCTGGGCGGGCATTTACAAAACTCCCATGTGGTACCTTCAACCGACAGATTTTATTGCTTTCCACGCTTTCGTCGTCTTTCAAACGAGAAACTGGTGGTGGTCGGCGGAAAAAACCACCGACGGTGTCAGCATATGCAGAGGCAAGACTCGTTCAAGCGTGAGATCTTCCTATCGAAGCACCAATCGAAAAACTCCGATAGAGGAGATTATTGCTGACAAATCACATGTAAATCTGCAGGATCTGATAGATTTCCTCTACGACTCCAATCTCGTCAAGGGTATTTACAACGTTGTAACAAACAACTGTCATACGTTTGCCTCCACTCTGTTCAACGAACTTGCAGCTACCCACTACGTCAATCATATTGCACTTCGACATGCCAAACCCATCGACTCGGAGCATGCAATCGAATGAGTGCTCGACCCCCATCCAGACACACACATTTAGCACAGATATGTTGGTTTTAAAATGTTTAATTATAATTTCAGTAGATCATTTTCAGCTTGTATCAGCGTAATAACGCTGTTGGCCGGTATTTCCCCGTAGTATGAGGTCAGCTTCTCCGTATAATGTTGAAGATGTCTTGACGTTGATATATGGGGCTTCATGTCCGCCAATGTACGCCATTCGTTGTCGCTGCATGGAAGGAAACAGATTAAAACATGTATAAGATCTCTGGTATTTCAAATAAAGAGAATTGCACGACAGATTACTTACCAAGAACACAGAAACAGAGGCTGCAGACCGGCCTCCAGCTTCCTCCTGTGGTTTTTAGACTTCAGGTGGTCCAGGAACGACCGGAGGCCGGTCGTGGTCTTTCCGCATGTAGAGCAAGAAAAAAGCATCTTGATGATAGTTGAATGGGACTGATCAAGGTGGATCCAATCACTTTTATCCCCGCCCAGTTGTTCGTTGGTTGAAGGGTGCGGCGCGCATGCGTGCAGTTCAACATTAAAACTCTGCGCGATGATCATGGAGTCCGCCGCTCAGGATGTGAAGCGGGTAAAGCGGTGACGTGACTACTACATCTCTTTGAAACGTGTGCGATTCATATGAAAACCGCTAAAGATGATGGCCATGGACCCCGCGTCCCGTTCAAACTTGTCGCCGGTTCTAGTTGATTCCAGAAACTTCCACCTGATCCGAGCACACTGTGAGTACTCTGAGCACGCTGTGAGGAGTGGGAAACTATCGACATTTTGGTACTCTCCGGTTGATGCAGACAGTGTGTAACCTTTTGACCCGCGTACGTGAGACGCCCCGGTTTAGGGTAAAATCGCTATGACGTCATCGATGACGTCATAGCTGGTACACCCATAATACTTTCTACTTGTGTGTGTGTGTGTGTGTGTGTGTGTGTGTGTTGTGTGTGTGTGCATGTTGTGTGCATGTTGTGTGCATGTTGTGTGCTCACACGCAGGGTGCATGCGGCTCCAGCTGGGCGTTCAGCACAACCGGCTCCACCGAAGGCCAGCACTTCAAGAAGACTGGCAACCTTGTATCGCTGTCCGAGCAGAACCTGATTGACTTCAACCAAAAGAAGGCTGATCGTGGCTGTGGCGGAGGTTTCATGGACCATGGCTTCAAGTACATCATCGAGAACCACGGCATTGACACAGAGGAGAGCTACCCTTACACGGCCAAGGCCGGTACATGCCGCTTCAAGGAGTCGCACGTCGGCGCCACCCTCACCAGCTACAAGGACATGCTGCCGCGCAAGTCCGAGAGCGCCCTGCAGGAGGCTGTTGCCTCGGTGAGTACTTTTCTTACACATAACAGAATACTCTCTGCATGGTGGCCCATATTAGAAGCTGTGTCTTAGGAGAACATATCCGGCTAAAGATAAGAAAGCTTTATCATACATGCAGGGACTAATTTACTTCAAAAAAATTGCATAGCAATAATTGCTACACACCCCGACGTTTGCATAGCAACGCAACAATTTTGCATAGCAGTTTTTTTCCGTCGACAATGCAGTCTTCAGTGCACTTCCACTTATACCGTCAACGAACGCCGTGCTGTAATTCCTCAAACCACGAAGCGAGGACGCCTTCTCCCTGCACATCTTGCAAAATATCTTGGTCACAGCTCCGCCACTCGACTCTGCGCGATTCCATTCTTTTTTGGGATCAAATTCAGCAATCCACTTGTCCACAGTACCTTGCTTCACAGACATGCCGGCAGTGAAGAGGCTTCATCAATAAGGCTAGCAGAATTTTACAAAGATAAGGCCTGAACGGTCGAGATGCCAACTGCTAGTGAAGCAACGCGGTCTATATCTCAAACGCAGGTGAAGTACTTGTCGACACTCGCCTCGTGCTTCCTGGGCTGCACTTCAAGTAAGTATAGGGCTTGAAAGTGCTACGTCACAGCATAGCAACAATTTCAAAAATTCAAAAATTGGATCCACTTGGATCCAGTTTTTGTATGGATCCAAGCACATTTCAAGCGGTCTTACCCACAGCATGGTGATGTAGCCAGTGAAACTGACTGATTTGGCTACTGGGGGCGGGGTTACAACTGGTGGCGAAATAAAAGTCACACCTGCATGCGACATGAGTGGGTTGCTATGCACCCACATACTTAGGCAATAGCAAAGTCACACCTTAGTGGATCCAAAAATAGAAATCTGATGTCAACTTACTACTCCTTGGCCGTTTTGACGTCATCACTTTCAAGCCCTATTAGTATTACTATTAGTTAGTTAGTTTCCAAGTCACGGCAAGTGCACGTGCTGCGGTGCGCGTGCGGAGATAGTGTGACATATGGCCATGGTCCCGCGGCCCGGGCGTGCGTAGACCTAGGCTATGGTGTAAAATCTACCTGCATGCTGCAGTGCAGGCTGGACAACCACACACACACAGTCTAATCTAGTCACAGTGCATGGCGCGCCAACCAGCCACACACACTGTAAAGCTACACATGTGCATGCGCTACACATGTGCATGCGCTACGCATGCACTACAAGTCTATGTCCAGGGCCATACTTAGCTAACATGATGATTGTATGTTGTGTCGCAGTTTACCGCGACTCACTACGAACTTCGAATCGCAGACACTGTGTTTTGCGTCGCAAACTGCGATGCGATACCGGTTAAATTAGTCCCTGTACATGTATATACCACTCTTTGGTTTTAGATAGTGCACAATCAATGGCTTGTCCACCAACTGTTTGTTTTACTGCTCGCTGCACCACAGCATAGTGTGTTGTTGGCCGGCCCACTGCGCTTCTACTCTGTTGGACCATCGTGTCTGTTGAACCAGGGAGTCGTAAAATACCGGTATTATAAGACTCCCTGTGTTCAACCACTGTGTCATCATGGCTGTTGCAGCTTTCCCGGTCAGCTTATTGACTCTTGTTGTCGTTAAGAAATCTGATGATGTAAAATAGCGTTGTGGATGTTTGGAAAGTGCTACAGCACTTGATTGCATTCGGCGATGTATAGAAACGTATACATGTAATTGTAATACTCTTCACTCTCTGTGTGTTCTCTTCTGTTCCTGCCGGCTGTCGTATCGCAGGTTGGCCCAGTGTCGATTGCCATTGACGTATTTCCGCTACTACAAGCACGGAGTCCTGATCGACAGCAAGTGCACCAACGCTTACCCGAATCACGCTGCCCTGGTCGTCGGCTACGGTGTTGAGGAAGAGCAGGACTACTGGCTGGTCAAGAACACGTGGGGTACCAGCTGGGGAGACAAGGGATACATCAGGACGGCACGTAACCATGACAACATGTGCGGGATCGCCACGGACGCCAGCTATCCGATCGCCTAAGCACACATCGCCGGGACAGCGCCGTCAAAGAAGAAGCGCTCGCACACGCCTTTGTCGTGTGATGTTGTAACTTATCTACCATCAGTATAGCTGATTGCCACCGCCACAGCTGCTGCTGCTGCAGCTTTTGTGGCGCAATCTTCCTTACACTATCAGCCCGGATCATCCATTCGCGCTATGATCCAAGCTTGCAGCCTATATCAATCCTATCTTCTGAAAATTGTGGTCAGCTTGCTGTCTGATGATCGGTTAACGCTTCTCATCCCTCTCAAGTGTGTTTATTTTATATAAGGCCACACCGTTTTTTTTCTATGTTTCGCATCATGACGTCACCTTATTCGATGAAATCAATGAGCATGAGGGAGGGGGAAAAAAATAAAAAAGCCATCCAAAAAAAAACAGTGTACGTGCCTTGCATTTGTGTACAGTGAAGCGACGTGGCACTGACTGTCTGTTCATGTACATTAACATGAACATTGACATGTCGGATTTCAGTTGCCAGCACTGTACATGATATACATGAGTGTACATGTATCCCCTCTAGGCCTCTGCCATGCTTTTGCCAGTTCATATGGCGTGTGGTCCAAACACAGGCAGCATGATTGTGTGACTTGCGGCCCAGCTTATTGCACACACAATGTTCAAATGCCATGTACATGTGTGTGAGCTGAGTACAATCATGCGATAAATAGAACAAATATTTAATTGATGCCAACATAATATTTACGTGTAACAATCATGTTCCGCAGGCATGCTTCCCTGTTCAGCGTGTTAAACGCATTCGTGGCATCTGCCATTAAGACCGTATCCTCCTGGTCGAACGCCTGCTGCATGGCATCAAGAGTACATAACCCCCGGGGGGTTATGTACTCTTGATGGCATGTATCGCCGCCTCGATCCCGCAGTCCTGGCCTGCACAGAGTTGAAGGGTGCCAACTGCCTCTTGAATATCCTGACCAATTACGTACAGGATGGCCTTGCCCACCACTCTCCGCATCACCTCGCCAATCCCAATGGGTCTAAAGGCCGATTCACAATACAACTTTCTGCGACGCGACTTGCGACACATGCGACGAGCTGCGACAGCGACACACGGTTCACAATATTCTTCATGTTTGCGACATCCTCATGCACAAGTAGTACTATGCACGTGCACTGCACGTACACTGCACGTGCACCCAGGGTCGAAATTGTACTCCATTTGTGTATGTCGCGTGTCGCATGTCGCAAAAGTTGAACTTTCTTCAACTTCTGCGACAGGTGCATTACGAACAGCTTGCGGCAGGTTGCGACAGCTCGCGACAGGCAGTTTCTTGTCGCAACTGTCGCAAATCGCGTGTCGCGTCGCAGAAAGTTGTATTGTGAATCGGGCTTTAAGCGGGATTCACAGAAGCTTTTTTGCGATGCGACACGCGATGCGACAGACGCGAAACCGGGAAAACCCCAAATCGCGCGCAGCCATGTCGCACCCCACGCAACTGCCGCAACTGGGCCATCGCAGGCCATCGCAGAAGTTGAGCTTGGCTCAACTTTTGCGATGCGATGCGATGCGACAAGCGATTTGGTGTACGATTTTGACCTTTTCTACAGCAAAGTTGTACAAAGGTGCAAGAGTTGCCTATAAATTTTTACAAGTTGTGTCAAACCGCGCGAATATCATGGTGACGTACCCAAATCAGCAAAACTTTGTCGCATCGCTGACTTCTTCTGTGAATGGTATTTCGCGAGTTCGCATTGCACGCATCCATCGCAGATCGCGTCGCATCGCGTGTCGCATCACAAAAAAGCTTCTGTGAATCCCGCTTTACCCCCGGGTTCTTGTTGAGGGGGATGAGTCGGGATGCCAGGTACGCTTCCAGCGATCGGGGGTCGACAAATTCGGTCGCCACACTTCGAGCAGAGCTTGCCAGCGCATCGCATAGCGAGTCAGACGCATCGGAGAACATTGTGCACATCCACCTCCATGCCTCAGCGTCTACACCTGACGGGCCGGCTGCGCCATGAGTGTTGAGTACCGCCTTTCTCACCAAGTCACGATTGAGACCAGAGAACCTGACCGGATGAGGCTGAGGAGGGGGAACACCTTGTATCAGGGCCTCCGTGGCTAGGGGCGCAGGGTCAGGGTGTTTGTGTGGAATCTGGATTTGGTCGTAGTCGCGGAGGTAAGTTCTCTCCGTTCACTTTTACTGTACCGACGGTGCACTGTGCATTGGCATGCTCCCACCCTCTCACGGTTCTGTGTAGTGCATTTTGTCGCTGGGTTCTGATCGAAAGGCTCCAGTGGCAAGATGCATTGCATCGAATCGAGAGGGGGTGGGGGCATGCCAATGCAGGGTGCACCGTAGTAGGTACGGTAAAAGTGAACCCAGTTAATAATGAATATCATCTCGCGCGGGATTGTATTGGCTATTATTTCCCGGTCAGCAAGGCTCCTGATTTGCTGAAACAGGCATATAGTACCGTACCATGGGATAATGCTATAATACTCCCTGCATAGCACCACAACAGCACCACATCTGCACATCCCTGTAGTGTAGTAGTTTTACCTTGACACTTCTTGCTTGTCTTATGGTAACACCTTGTGTTCCTACTATTCTCACTCCTGCGGTTCTCACCTTTCTTTTGCTTTATAACCTCTGGTTTGAACATCATTCGACGAATTCTCCAATCAATCAAGTCTATACTGTTACACTGGTAGCTTGAGGATGGTTGAGATCATCGTTTGCCCTTTGACGTGCCTTGTGCTCCTGGCCGCTACTGCTCTGCTATACGCCGCTTTCCGTGAGATCCGCTGCGCTCGGGACAACGTGGCTGCTACAGTTGGACGACATCAATTACCTGCTACATCAAGCTCAAGTCCTCCGGATCTAGCCCAGTGTCGATCGCGTTCTCTCTCCCAGACAAGCCCGAGCGTCAAACGCGTTACCAGAGAACCGAATGTTTTCCATGGCAACCCTTCCGAGTTCAAAGAATGGGTATTTACGGTCGAGTTAGCCTTGAAGTGCTCACCTCAAGGTGACCCGGAGAGCCAAGTTAACTTTGCGGCTAGCTACCTCGCTGGGAATGCGCGTCTTTGGCTAATTTCTTCCCTGGAAGCAGGTGAGCAATTTTCGGATTGGCATTCTTTGAAAAGCGCCCTAGCGCGAGTGTATGGCCCGCACTATGATGGGGAAAGAGTGCGGTTGGATATGTTCTCTATCCAACAGCGTGGGTCAATTGAATCGTACGTAACGGAGTTTTCTCGGCTAAGTTTACAGGTGCCGGAACTTGACGAACTCTCCAGAGCCTTGCTATTTGTCAACGGCCTGCACGGTAACATGCGGACCTTGGTAGTGAAGGAACACCCCACTACACTGTCAGCCGCCGTTCAGTCAGCGCTAGCAGTCGCCTCAGACAGCCGATTTCAGCGCAGACCACCACTGGCGACCGCGCCGGGATTCGCACCACCATCAGGTAGCAAAAAGCTAACAAAACTAAGCCCCGAGGAACGTGAGACATTACGAGCCCAGGGGGGCTGCTTCGCATGTCGTCGACCAGGCCATATGGCCCAGAATTGCCCGCAGCATCGAGATCACCCAAACGGTGGACGTCAGTAAGGCCGATGCGATTACTGACGCAGCAAGAAAAGGCATCACCTGCGTGTAGTGTGTGCTCCGTCTCTACCCGTAACCGATTCAGTAGCCTCGCTGTGGAGGATGTTGACGATGATGCTGAATGCTCCGAAGCCAATTTCAAGCGAGATGTTACACCAACTATTGAGGCCCAGGTTACCAGCGTCAATGTGGAAACGGAACATGAGCTCCTGCGTGTAGAAGGCAAAATCAACGGTCGTCGCGCGCTTATGTTAATAGATTCGGGCTCGACCCATGATTTCATTGCCGAACAGTTTGCCAGGAGAGTTAACCTGCCAACCGAAATTGGCTCGGAAAACCTGAATGTCACGCTGGCTGATGGAGCATCAAGCTCGTTTCCCATGGAGACGACCCATGAATTGAAGGTTATCGTAGGCGACTTCAGCGATAATCAAACCTTCACGGTGTTCCCCCTTCATCGCTATGACGCTATATTGGGGAAACCTTGGTTAACGCGTAACAATCCAGACATAAACTTCCGGACGAATGAAGTCAGGTTGAACTCGAATGGTTTGCCTTGTGCGTCGCCCAGTCAAAGCGAACCGACCGCTCCTGTGGAGGCGATGTTCATATCTGGTCGTCAGGCTAGGCATGCCCTTAGGAGTGGAGACGAAGGTGTTCTGGCGTGGGTCAGCGTAGAAGACGGCATTGGCAAGGAACCTCCCGACAAATCCACTCAGAACGAGCACCCAGATCTCAAGGCCATGTTCCGTGACTATGACGATCTTTTCCCGGATGATCTGCCAGCTAGACTCCCACCAGAGAGGTCTGTAGACCACGAAATCCGCCTGGAGGAAGGCTCATCACCCCCATCGCGACCTGCCTATCGCCTGCCCAGGCCAGAAATGGAGGAATTGAAGAAACAGCTCACAGAACTCTTGAAAAAGGGTTTCGTAGAACCAAGTAAGTCCCCCTTTGGTGCACCGGTGTTTTTTGTCAAGAAAGCTGATGGTTCGTTACGCATGGTCTGCGATTGGAGGGAGCTAAACAAGATAACTGTTAAGAACAAGGCGTGCTTGCCCAATGTGGATGATTTATTCGATACCGTACAGGGCGCTAGGTACTTCACGAAACTAGACCTCCGATCAGGGTATAATCAGATTCGCATTCAAGCTGAGGACGTGCCCAAAACCGCGATTAACACTCCCTTTGGGCATTACCAATTTAGGGTCATGGGATTTGGTCTCACCAATGCACCGGCAACATTTCAATCCATGATGAATACGATTCTTCAACCATATCTGAGGGAGTTCGTAGTCGTGTTCCTAGATGACATACTCATCTTCAGCAAAACGTGGTCGGAGCATATGCAGCATGTCCGGTCGGTATTGAGCGTGCTCCGGGACAACCAGTTATTTTGCAAACGGTCAAAATGTGAATTTGGCGTGGAGAGTGTGCGGTTCCTGGGACATTGCATCGATGGACTGCACATCGCCCCTGACCCAGACAAGATTGCCGCAGTAAAGGTCTGGCCCGCTCCGACTTCCGTCACAGAGGTGAGGCAATTTCTTGGATTTACGAATTATTTTAGGCGATTCATAGATCAATACTCATCGCTCTCTAAGAACTTAGAGGAGATAACGGGAAAACATGCACGATTCGAGTGGAACAGCTCTCGGCAACATGCCTTTGAATCGCTAAAGCATGCCTTGTTGAATGCGC